TTTTTTTTTTTTTTTTTTTTTTTTTATAAATAATAATTTCTCTTTTCCATCCCCATCTTCTGCTTCCTCTCATCGATGGTCGCCTACTGCCGTGACTGAAAAATAAATAAAATAAAAATAAATAAACAAACTTGCATTTTCCTCTAGCTTAAAATTATTTCATATTTTCAAATACTTTTAATTGGGTTAGATTTGCTGTTTTATGTTAAATTGTATACACCCAAAATATATTTGGTAAAAATAGGAAAAAAGAAAATAATGGCCCATTAGTGACCTGACTACAACCCAAGCCCAAGCCCAAAAGCATAGTGAAAACTGAAACGTGTCGTTTCGGCGGATGGACGTACGCGACATGTCGTCAACTTACTAAAGGTTGAACTGTCGTATCGTAAAAGAGACGTCGTAGTGGCCTTCCGTTATCTGTAGCTCCATTACGCGCCATTGGAGTTCTGAATTCCACGCTTCTAACGGCGCGGCGCCAAGTCGAGCTTTTGCCGTTGTCTTTACAAGTCTTCCATTCCGTTAAAAAGATCCGCGTCGATTCAACCAATCAGAGGTGCGACTTTGAGTCACTCAACCAATAAAAGTGCTCCACGTGGAATACCTTCCAATATAATTCGCTTCACTCGGGTAGTTTTTTTCTTCTCCATTTCAGCTCTTGGCCATTTTTCTTTTCCTGCCTGAATTAATTTTTTCTCTTGCATATTTCTGCAATTTCGATTTCTTTTCTTGGATCTAGTCTCTCCGGCGACATCAAGGGCTGAGAATGGAAGCTCATGGCAGTGGATTCCGCCGCGTGTTCGTGCTCGCCTTTTGCGTCGCCGGGATTTGGTCCGCTTATATTTACCAAGGCGTTCTTCAGGAGACTCTGTAAGTTTTTTTTTGTTCGTTATGATTTATTTACTATTACTTTCTTTTGAGCGAATGTCTGTTGTTGATATCTTCCCGAGGATTGTTTTCAGATTTTTCATATTAGACTTTCTTTTTTGTATTTTTTGTTGGAAAGCAAGTTGATTCTGTTGAATTTACTTGCGAACAGTAACTGCCCATTATCTAGGGCAATCTGGGTAACTATTCCGTGGAATTGGATTTTGCATTTATTCGTTATGCAACTTCTTCAAGATTCCTTCGCCATTATATTCTTACCTTAAGATTTCTGCATCTTTTGGGAGATTAACATTAGGGCGTATGTTTCAGAAAATGCTGGGATTTAGTATCCAAGATTCGGGTTCTTTTTCTAATGATAGGATTTCAGGACTAGTAGTCGTTCTGCCTACTGTCTTTTTCCGTGAACTTGATCCCAAGAAACCCATTTTTTCTCTTGGGAAAAATCACGTTCCGGAGGAGCATCCTCGTTGTTATTGCTTTGTTCACCGACGGATTCAAATCCATTTTCATGATTTTAAGTCATTTTTCTTTTCTCTTTAGGTCCACTAAACGCTTTGGTTCCGACGGAAAGAGATTTGAACACCTTTCCTTCCTTAACCTGGCACAAAATGTTGTCTGTTTAATATGGTCATACATAAGTGAGTTTCTCTTGGCTCGACTTCTTACCAAATCTATTCTATTATGAACCTTCCATTATCGTACGGATTTAAAAGGAAAAAATATTTTGTGCTGTGGTCAAAAGAACTAAGCTGGTTGTGCATCATAAACAGTGATAAAGCTCTGGTCCAGTCGTATCACTGGTGGTGCACCTTGGTGGACATACTGGAGTGCTGGTATTACGAATACTATTGGACCAGCTATGGGAATTGAAGCTTTGAAGTATATAAGCTATCCTGCCCAGGCATGTTTCAAATTATACCCATATTTAATTGTTTAACCTTTTTTATTTCTGTTGTGGCTCTATAATTTTCTAAATTTAATCAATCAAGATTTCCTTGACTGACTATAAACCCCTGCGATGAATGTATAAATGATAGTTTCTGCTAGGGATGAGTGTGAGTACTAAATAAACAATGAGCGGCAACTAAAACAATGTGTGAATATTTGATCTAGCTTATGAATTATGTTGTCCATTTCTGCAGGTCCTGGCAAAGTCATCAAAAATGATTCCAGGTTAGACAAATGAGATCCTCATAATAATATGTTTTGCTCCACTTTAATATGAGGGTAGTGTACCGTTAGTTTCATGGTAAATAAAAAAATCATGGAAAAAGAGGTTATGAAAACAATACTTGGAATTGATGATCTATGTACGTATTCCTTCATCTGAATCTTTGTATTCGCTTATGCAGTGATGCTGATGGGTACGCTAGTTTATGGTATTAAATACACATTTCCAGAATATATGTGTACCTTTCTGGTTGCTGGAGGAGTATCTACATTTGCTCTCTTAAAGGTTTTTTCCTTTTCAAATCTTCTTGCTCCTCGTTTTTCTATCATCAATTTCTTTCTCTAAATTTTTGTTATTTATGCTTATGTTAATTCCAGACTAGCTCAAAGACTATCAGCAAGTTGGCACATCCTAATGCACCCCTTGGCTATGGGCTTTGCTTCTTGAACCTTGCATTTGATGGTTTCACGAATGCCACTCAGGATTCCATTTCAGCAAGGTGAGAATAACACTTGGATAATTTTCTTTCGCCAGAATCTTCCTTTCTTGTGCACGATTAGTTTATACGAATGTATCATGTTGAAGATTTACATTATTACATAGTATTTATCTTGTCATAGTATTCCATTTCAGCAAGGTGATGTTTTGATGTATTTATCTTGTCATAGTCCTCAGAAGCTTTATGCTGTTAAACAGTTTAAATCAATTATGTTTGCGTATGGTCATATATTCGTCATCAATTCTGCAGGTACCCAAAAACAAGTGCATGGGACATAATGTTGGGAATGAATCTCTGGGGTACTATATATAATGTGATCTATATGTTTGGGTGGCCGCATGGTACTGGATATCATGCCATAGAATTCTGCAGACAGCATCCTGAAGCAGCTTGGGACATTCTTCTGTATTGTCTCTGTGGAGCAGTTGGCCAAAATTTTATCTTCCTAACAATCAGCCGATTCGGTTCCCTTGCTAATACCACCATTACCACAACTCGCAAGTTTGTCAGCATTGTGGTGTCCTCTGTGCTCAGTGGAAACCCTCTGTCGTCGAAGCAGTGGGGCTGCGTTGTAATGGTCTTCTCAGGGTTATCATATCAAATTTACCTCAAGTGGAGGAAGCTGCAAAAGTTGCAGAGAAAGAGAAAGACCACCTAAGTAGGAAATCAATTGTAACCAAAGGTTCAATGGTCCTTGAATTAGAGGGTATCTGGAATATTCATGGATGTAGATTTATAGAGTGCTTTAGAAGTATAAACCAAGTTTTGACTCTGCCTTTTCTTTAATTTTCTGTAATCAGGCTGTCGGGAGCGAGGGACCAGTGGAAGTTCCCTCCATGAAGATGTATCTGATTTTCATTTTTTTTTGGAACTTAAACAGCTAGCTGGTGAGGATATACATACGAATGATATATGGAGTAGTGTGTCTTGATGGATCTACACTTTAATCTACAAAGTCAATGTAGAAAGAAACTTCATCCAGATGTTATGTTGCTTTTTTGCCTGCCATGGCTCTATAAGATTTCAGGAAAAAAAAAAAAAGTGTTTCTAGAAATCGGAATCAGTTGTGTGTATCAATGTTGTGCAGTATAGATTGTTACAGTTATAATATGGTATAACATGATATATCATATGACCAGTAAAAAAGTTGTGCAATATAGTTTGTTACTGTGTAGCTAGATTTTGTTCTGACAAAGTATGAAATAAACAAAAATAACATGAAGGTGTTGTAAGTAGAACGTTGATGATCTTTCCACTTTGGTGGAAACAAAATTCAAAATTAGCCTTGTTCCTCGAGAAAGTTGATAGCAATAGGTGACCCTTTATTTTGTAGGTAGTTCCCTCCTCTTTTCAACTTCCACTTTTTGACTTTCGTCATTATTATACTTTGTCCCCCACTGCAAATCCGCCCCCAACCATCTGAATTTAACACACACCCTTCTTCCCTGCACTGTCGACTTCGTTGCAATTCTCAGTCTCACGCCAGGGCCCGAGACATGAGGTATAAGCTTACAAAATTCTCTCCAGTGCCTGTCTTTTCTTTGTCTTATCCCAACCCCCCAACTGTATTTGAACTCACTCTCATTTCGTGTGTTGTTTTCAAGAAGTTGGAAGCTCTTACAAATTAACCACTTTCACAGGGTTTTTTCTGCACTTTCTTCTGTTTTACTTGAGGTTTTCATAGTTCCAACTGAGAAGGATAATCAGACAGACAGATTTGTGCGTCATTTTCTCTGTATCTTTATTGGGAGTTACTTAAACTGGTTGCTATTCTGTTCAAAATCCAGGGTCATAAGAGAAGAGTAGAAGGATGAATGCACACCAACAACAAAACACATTCCACTCAAATCATATTTATGTTTGTTGCATCAAAAATCAGGTAAGGAACCAAAAAAAAAAAAAAGAAAAGCTGATTCTATACCTCTGCACACCAAAAATAAAAGTATACAGGAAACCACCCCAACTGGTTATCCTCTTGTTTTCATCAGTTTTTTCCTTTCTTCCTTTTTTTGCTATCTGCTTCCCTCGATCACTTTTTGTTGGAGGGCAGTAAGCATGCGGCCAAAGCATGCTTACTCTCTGAATGTCTATAAATATATCTAGAAGTTATGTACATGTGGGAAATCAAGCTACAAAAACTGGGACACTAAGAATCACATTGCAAGGACTGGAAAAATGACACACCAAGCACACTGGTTCGGACGTTACTATTAGAGAAACCCCACCTAGGGAAAGAAAAGAAAAAAAGAATGTGGAACACGCGGTTGTACGTGTCCCGATGTGTCAGAATGCTCCATAACATTCAAGACACGAGTCATGGAATGCAGATATCAACATGCCACCATGAAAAATTTTAGGCCGGAATGGCTGCAAACCAATGGAATTTAATTCAAAAGAAAGAAAGAAAAAGACTGAATTTTGAACCTAGATAATACAGACTATGTGTGGGATGATTAGAGAGGTTTTATAGACTTTGGAGAAGGGCTCTTTTGCAGGGTGGTGGTTGTGAAGGATTAACACTAGGGTTAAGGGAAGGTGATTCCACTCCCAGTGTTTTAAGAAGAAAACTCCTTTCCTGAAAAAAAGAAGAAACAAAACAAAACAATTGAGAGGTAATATAGAAAACAAATCTCAGCACGAAACAGGCTTAAGCTTTAACATTTACTATAGCAGCTGACATTTTATACTTATATGTATACAATGTTCAATATCTATGGATAGCAACGCTTCAAAGCGGATAAAGTAGTTTTGGGTAGCAAAATTCATTTGCTGCTGACACGATATTCTTTAACAAAGAGACTATGCTCGGATAGTCAGTGTCCAGGTTTTCCATTTTAAACTATCTCTTAGGCTTGGGAGTCTGCTTACTTAATGTTATAATAGCTTATTTAATGTTACATAGGGAGTAAAGATCTATATATGGTAAGTTACATATAAAGCAATAAAAAGTAAATAGTATAAAAAGTAAATAGTACCTATAAATATGGTAACATATAGTAGATGAATATATATAGTAAATTGAACCATATATATACTCTTTAAGCAGTGTTTTGAAAACGTATAAATATGGTAACATACAGTAGATGAATATATATAGTAAACTTAACCATATATATACTCTTTAGGCAGTGTTTTGAAAACGTACTTTCTGCATTTTCTGGATTCTCTCTTGGCGATACATACTAAAAGTCTTCGATATAAACCCTGAGTCAATATTCCTCCTTGCATATTCTTTTTCCTATTCTTTGTGTTCATCCGCTTTTTCTGTATTCTCTCTTGCGATACATACTAGAAGTCATTAATATAAACCTTTAGTCAATATTCCTCCTTGCTACATACTAGAAGTCATCTCTCTTTCCTATTCTTTGTGTTCATCCGCTTTTTCTGTAGTCTCTCTTGCGATACATACTAGAAGTCATTAATATAAACCCTTAGTCAATATTCCTCCTTGCTACATACTAGAAGTCATCTATAGGTAGCCATGTCCAATCTTCACTTGGGTTTGAGGGCCTATATATGGTAGATAGCTATATATAATAGATGGTTATGTCTGGTAAAACTATATATATATATAGATCCATGTAATTTATCTTCCCATAGGGGTTGAGGGCCGACATATAGTAGATAGGGCCTATATATAGTAGATAGCTATAATATATATAGTATATGGTTATATCTGGTAAAACTATATATAGTAAACCGAACCATATATATACCCCTTATCCAGTGTAGTCGTCATCAATAAACCTTTAGTCAATATTTCTTCTTGCATTTCCTCTCTCCCGTTCTATCTTCACTTGCCCTAGTTTGACCACCATTATCAATCTGAACCACTTCAAAATAAGAACTGGATTTATCTAAATAAGAACTAGAGTTTCGGCTGAAAATTCTTAAACTACAGCAAATTTTCACGTTGCTTTAATTTTTTTAGGAGTTTAATCATGTTATTATTAACTTATGGAGCAAATTGCACAAACCACTCCGAAACAACCATGATTGTTCCGACACACTAACTTTTAATGTAAAAATTAGACCCACGAACTTCAATAAGCCAAAAAAGTATTGGAACCAAACCTCAATTGTAAAAATTGAATCCTTAAACTTTCATAAATAGAAAAATTGGCCCTATGCCCTCTCTGTGTCCTACCTTTCTCTCTCCCCTCCTTCCGAAGCCTTTCCAGGACTAGGATGCTGCAGTAGACTGCAAAATCTCTTAGCGTTAGTCGATTATTGAAGTTTCTCCCATCTAATACTCTCTCCTGTAATTGGGTACTACAGCAAGCACCAGCAGATTTATTGGCTGGATGGGAGGAAATGGAACAATGAAGGGAGGGGGAGAGTGAAAAGGACCCGATTTTCATTTTTGAATAAGACACTGCTACTTCTGATTGACAGATTTCTATAACTCTCCATAAACTCTCAAGTTTTTGCTTTAGTTATCCAACCATTGTTTTTTACTGCAGCTCCTTTTTCTTTAACATTGAAACAATCACTTGACCGATTCTATTCTATTAGTGCAGTTAAACATAAAGTAAGGGTCACTTACACTTTCAGAGAATTGTGGGCTGGGAATTCCTGCTGCCAAGGATCTAAAAAGTGGAATTACATGCATGGGAGAGCTGAATTCTGAGCTTGAAAAGGAAGAGGCAATGGTATCAATTTTTCGTTCATTGCAACACTTGAAAGCCTCTGCTGCAGTAAAACATAGCATCTTCTTAGTAGCATATCACGAGAAAGATTAATGGCCTCTATAACCAATGCGAGAACTTATTGATTACCTCGCTCCAGGTTTGTCTTCGGAAGTATTTCTTTCTCAGATTCACCATTATTTTGCTCTCCGGTGCAAGTTGACCCAGATTCAAATTTAGGTTCCTGATGATGAGTCCCTATCTCAGGTTGGCTTTGATCTATTTTTTCCTCCGCGGTTTGGGATACTAGTGTTGATCCAGTACTGTATTCTGAACTGCCAGGAGATTCGTGGAGATTGGATTCTCTGCAGGCCATGACATTGATAAGGCTACAAATAATGAGTAACATAAATTTGAAAAATTATAGGTAGCATTCTTTTGTTACCTCCATTGGCTACCATCATTGCTACTCCTTAAATCCTCCACTGAACCTTTAGTGTCTTCCACTTGAAGGTCAATATCCGAAGTTACATATTTGGGTATGTCATTTTCTTTGGTTCGACTGAGAAAATTTTGGAGAATCTGATTCATATTTAATGGACATCACAGAACAAGAAACTATTACATGAATGAATATATGACATCATATACGAAAATAAAAGCAGAATACTCGAGATTTAATAGGATGTGAAGTTTACAATTTTTGGAGAATGACGTTAACACCAATACATAATTCAAGATATTATCCTTTTTTAATGATGAAAATCTAATTGCCATGTCTAATAATACAAATAGAGTTTATTTGTTTGTATGAGGAAGACATGGAATAAAGGTTTCTCCCACTATATTTACTTGGTTATCTGCCATTACCAACATGGCAACTCACTCTTACAGAGCACATATAACAGCATTGTTGATAGACAAAGTACCTACCTTCCAAGCATTTTCAAGACTCTGGTCTGTATTCTCTGAGTTGACCTTCAATGCGAGCGAACTAAGTAATTCTGCTTGTTGTGTTAAAGCGGTTACCTTCGGATCATCCTTCTTGATAAAGGTTTCTTGATTCTTGTTGCCTTGAGCTGTTTATGGTGGAGAAATGAAGAGATTAAGCCCATTATCATGAGCCCGAAAGTGAAACCAATGATGCAACAACATACAAAGCATACAAAGGAGTGACTAGTAGACTTTTTTTCGTTGGCAAAATTTTTAAGGAAATGATAATCCTGGTCTGCATGATGTGTCTCCGGTTTTAACAAAATGATGAGAAGGTTTATAAGGTTGATTTATGTGACTTACTGGTCTTTAGACCTTCGGCATCGTTCATGGGAAGTTCAGCTGGCAAATTGTCGATACTATGGACATTCTCTACCAGAACTGCAAATGGAGCTCTCAGCTGCTGATCCATTGCTGAGCATGGCTTTTTTAATCCATCATCAAGTGAGCAACTTTCAGTTGTATGAGATATGTGTTCTCTCCTAAATGGTTATTTGCAGAATAATTAATTCTTTTCTGTCAAGCAATTTCTCCTTGACATTCTATTTAAACATCTTGTATACAAACTTTTACCTTATCCTCTTTCCTGACTGAGAAGTTTCGGAAGAAACGTCGTTACTCCCCTTTTGAAAGAGAACTCTTTTGTTGTTGTGATTGATGAATGAACTTGAGTTCTCTTTTGCTAATGCTTCATATTTGGCTCTCTTTTTACACAAGGTGGTAAACCGGTTTTTTACTGCATTGTCCGTTCTGCATAAGCCAAAACAACATGTAAATGTTTAGTAAAATTTGCAGCAAAATTGAACTGCAATAAGAGAGCTGGAAAGTTCCATACCTGCCTGACACCACCTTCGCTATTTCTGTCCATCTATTTCCAAATATTTTCTGCGCCTGTAGACCAGGCTAATTTATTAGTTTTCAGGGCATCCAATGCCGTGGGAATGCGCAAAAGTTTCAACATATTGACCGTTCGGCTACTTTTATCTTTAAAGAGACCACAGCATGTGCTTATATTTGTTAATCCGAGGCATTTTAACATTATATTTCACTCCTACAAATAAGCAATGTAATAAAATGACATTTACAGTAACTTTAAGCTAATAAGACAGTGATTACAGACAATATTTAAATCTCTATTCTGGATTCTTCGTTCTTACAAATGGGGGGAAGAATCACCTCGCATAGAAGCAAATCCTCTTCTGGAGACCATCCCCCTTTCTTAAAATCAGAATTCAAGTATGTGTACCATCTGTAACGTAATTACCATAGGCCATTCACATCAGTGAAACTCGATCAACCCAGAAGAAAACCAGAAG